TGTTTGTGGTCAAGTTTAGTGTGTGTGGTGATGTTTGGTGTGTGTGTGTGTTTGTGGTCAAGTTTAGTGTGTGTGGTGATGTTTGGTGTGTGTGTGTGTTTGTGGTCAAGTTTAGTGTGTGTGGTGAGGTTTGGTGTGTGTGTGTGTTTGTGGTCAAGTTTAGTGTGTGTGGTGAGGTTTGGTGTGTGTGTGTTTGTGGTCAAGTTTAGTGTGTGTGGTGAGGTTTGGTGTGTGTGTGTGTTTGTGGTCAAGTTTTGTGTGTGTGGTGATGTTTGGTGTGTGTGTGTGTTTGTGGTCAAGTTTTGTGTGTGTGGTGATGTTTGGTGTGTGTGTGTGTTTGTGGTCAAGTTTAGTGTGTGTGGTGATGTTTGGTGTGTGTGTGTGTTTGTGGTCAAGTTTAGTGTGTGTGGTGATGTTTGGTGTGTGTGTGTGTTTGTGGTCAAGTTTAGTGTGTGTGGTGAGGTTTGGTGTGTGTGTGTGTTTGTGGTCAAGTTTAGTGTGTGTGGTGAGGTTTGGTGTGTGTGTGTGTTTGTGGTCAAGTTTTGTGTGTGTGGTGATGTTTGGTGTGTGTGTGTGTTTGTGGTCAAGTTTAGTGTGTGTGGTGAGGTTTGGTGTGTGTGTGTGTTTGTGGTCAAGTTTAGTGTGTGTGGTAAAGTTTGGTGTGTGTGGTAAGGTTTGGAGTGTGTGGTAAGGTTTGGTGTGGTTGTGGTAAGGTTTGGTGTGTGTGGTAAGGTTTGGAGTGTGTGGTAAGGTTTGGTGTGTGTGGTTGTGGTAAGGTTTGGTGTGGTTGTGGTAAGGTTTGGTGTGGTTGTGGTAAGGTTTGGTGTGTGTGGTAAGGTTTGGTGTGGTTGTGGTAAGGTTTGGGGTGTGTGGTTGTGGTAAGGTTTGGTGTGAGGTTGTGGTAAGGTTTGGTGTGTGTGTGGTAAAGTTTGGTTTAGTGTGGTGTGGAAGTTTGTGTGTGGTTGAGGTTTAGTGTGGTGTGGTGTGTAAGTTTGTGTGTGTGTGTGTTTGAGGTTTAGTGTTGTGTGTGTGTGTAAGTTTGTGTGTGTGGTAAGGTTTAGTGTGGTGTGTGTGTGTAAGTTTGTGTGTGTGGTAAGGTTTAGTGTGGTGTGTGTGTGTGTAAGTTTGTGTGTGTGTGGTAATGTTTAGTGTGGTGTGTGTGTGTAAGTTTGTGTGTGTGGTAAGGTTTAGTGTGGTGTGTGTGTGTGTAAGTTTGTGTGTGTGTGGTAATGTTTAGTGTGGTGTGGTGTGTAAGTTTGTGTGTGTGGTTGAGGTTTAGTGTGATGTGTGTGTAAGTTTGTGTGTGTGTGGTAATGTTTAGTGTGGTGTGGTGTGTAAGTTTGTGTGTGTGTGGTTGAGGTTTAGTGTGATGTGTGTGTAAGTTTGTGTGTGTGGTTGAGGTTTAGTGTGGTGTGTGTGTGTAAGTTTGTGTGTGTGGTTGAGGTTTAGTGTGGTGTGTGTGTAAGTTTGTGTGTGTGGTTGAGGTTTAGTGTGGTGTGTGTGTAAGTTTGTGTGTGTGGTAAGGTTTAGTGTGGTGTGTGTGTGTAAGTTTGTGTGTGTGTGGTTGAGGTTTAGTGTGGTGTGTGTGTGTAAGTTTGTGTGTGTGGTTGAGGTTTAGTGTGGTGTGTGTGTAAGTTTGTGTGTGTGTTTGAGGTTTAGTGTGGTGTGTGTGTGTAAGTTTGTGTGTGTGGTTGAGGTTTAGTGTGGTGTGTGTGTAAGTTTGTGTGTGTGGTAAGGTTTAGTGTGGTGTGTGTGTGTAAGTTTGTGTGTGGTAAGGTTTAGTGTGGTGTGTGTGTGTAAGTTTGTGTGTGTGTGGTTGAGGTTTAGTGTGGTGTGTGTGTAAGTTTGTGTGTGTGTTTGAGGTTTAGTGTGGTGTGTGTGTGTAAGTTTGTGTGTGTGGTTGAGGTTTAGTGTGGTGTGTGTGTGTAAGTTTTTGCGTGTGTGTGGTTGGGGTTTAGTGTGGTGTGTGTGTGTGAGTTTGTGTGTGTGTGGTTGAGGTTTAGTGTGGTGTGTGTGTAAGTTTTTGCGTGTGTGTGGTTGGGGTTTAGTGTGGTGTGTGTGTGTAAGTTTTTGCGTGTGTGTGGTTGGGGTTTAGTGTGGTGTGTGTGAGTTTGTGTGTGTGTGGTTGGGGTTTAGTGTGGTGTGTGTGAGTTTGTGTGTGTGTGGTTGGGGTTTAGTGTGGTGTGTGTGAGTTTGCGTGTGTGTGGTTGAGGTTTAGTGTGGTGTGTGTAAGTTTGTGTGTGTGTGGTTGAGGTTTAGTGTGGTGTGTGTGTAAGTTTGTGTGTGTGGTTGAGGTTTAGTGTGGTGTGTGTGAGTTTGTGTGTGTGTGGTTGAGGTTTAGTGTGGTGTGTGTAAGTTTGTGTGTGTGTGGTTGAGGTTTAGTGTGGTGTGTGTGTGTAAGTTTGTGTGTGTGGTTGAGGTTTAGTGTGGTGTGTGTAAGTTTGTGTGTGTGAGGTGAGGTTTAGTGTGGTGTGTGTGTGTAAGTTTGTGTGTGTGAGGTGAGGTTTAGTGTGGTGTGTGTGTGTAAGTTTGTGTGTGTGTGGTTGAGGTTTAGTGGGGTGTGTGTGTGTGTGAGAGGTAAGGTTTAGTATGGGGTGTGTGTGTAAATGTGTGTGTGTGTGAGGTAAGGTTTAGTGTGGTGTGTGGTGTGTAAGTTTGTGTGTGTGTGTTTGAGGTTTAGTGTGGTGTGTGTAAGTTTGTGTGTGTTTGAGGTTTTAACTTTGGAGCTTTCGTGACTGCAGGAATTATTCTTTGGTTCTTTCGGTAAAGTCACGTATAAATAAAAAATAATAAATGAAATAATAACATACGACGTTTCGATTGCAACACAAGCAATCATCATCAGGTATAATGAAATAGCGACATAAAATCTAACCAGAAAAAATTATAGACAAATTATAGACAGACATATAAGCAGACAGATATCACCAAGATACACACAGCGGACATGGTGTGTACGTGCTGAGTGTTGGCCTGTGCGTGGTGTGTGAGGGTGTGCGTGAAATGCATGTGTTTATGGTGTCGGGTGAACGTCGTGAATGAGGTGGTGGAGTGTGGTGTGATGCGTGGTGTGTGAGGGTGTGAGTGTATGGGTTTGTGGGGGGTGTGTGCGTGTGGTACGTGGTGTGTGAGTGTATGGGTTTGTGGGGGGTGTGTGCGTGTGGTGCGTGGTGTGTGAGTGTATGGGTTTGTGGGGGGTGTGTGCGTGTGGTGCGTGGTGTGTGAGTGTGTGAGTGTCTGGGTTCGTGGGGGGTGTGTGCGTGTGGTGCGTGGTGTGTGAGTGTGTGAGTGTCTGGGTTCGTGGGGGGTGTGTGCGTGTGGTGCGTGGTGTGTGAGTGTCTGGGTTCGTGGGGGGTGTGTGCGTGTGGTGCGTGGTGTGTGAGTGTCTGGGTTCGTGAGGGGTGTGGTGCGTGGTGTGTGAGTGTCTGGGTTCGTGGGGGGTGTGTGCGTGTGGTGCGTGGTGTGTGAGTGTCTGGGTTCGTGGGGGGTGTGTGCGTGTGGTGCGTGGTGTGTGAGTGTCTGGGTTCGTGGGGGGTGTGTGCGTGTGGTGCGTGGTGTATGAGTGTCTGGGTTCGTGAGGGGTGTGGTGCGTGGTGTGAGTGTCTGGGTTCGTGGGGGGTGTGTGCGTGTGGTGCGTGGTGTGTGAGTGTCTGGGTTCGTGGGGGGTGTGTGCGTGTGGTGCGTGGTGTGTGAGTGTCTGGGTTCGTGGGGGGTGTGGTGCGTGGTGTATGAGTGTCTGGGTTCGTGAGGGGTGTGGTGCGTGGTGTATGAGTGTCTGGGTTCGTGGGGGGTGTGTGCGTGTGGTGCGTGGTGTGTGAGTGTCTGGGTTCGTGGGGGGTGTGTGCGTGTGGTGCGTGGTGTGTGAGTGTCTGGGTTCGTGAGGGGTGTGGTGCGTGGTCTGTGAGTGTCTGGGTTCGTGGGGGGTGTGTGCGTGTGGTGCGTGGTGTGTGAGTGTCTGGGTTCGTGGGGGGTGTGTGCGTGTGGTGCGTGGTGTGTGAGTGTCTGGGTTCGTGAGGGGTGTGGTGCGTGGTCTGTGAGTGTCTGGGTTCGTGGGGGGTGTGTGCGTGTGGTGCGTGGTGTGTGAGTGTCTGGGTTCGTGGGGGGTGTGTGCGTGTGGTGCGTGGTGTGTGAGTGTCTGGGTTCGTGGGGGGTGTGTGCGTGTGGTGCGTGGTGTGTGAGTGTCTGGGTTCGTGAGGGGTGTGGTGCGTGGTGTGTGAGTGTCTGGGTTCGTGGGGGGTGTGGTGCGTGGTGTATGAGTGTCTGGGTTCGTGAGGGGTGTGGTGCGTGGTGTATGAGTGTCTGGGTTCGTGGGGGGTGTGTGCGTGTGGTGCGTGGTGTGTGAGTGTCTGGGTTCGTGGGGGGTGTGGGGCGTGGTGTGTGAGTGTCTGGGTTCGTGGGGGGTGTGTGCGTGTGGTGCGTGGTGTGTGAGTGTCTGGGTTCGTGGGGGGTGTGTGCGTGTGGTGCGTGGTGTGTGAGTGTCTGGGTTCGTGAGGGGTGTGGTGCGTGGTCTGTGAGTGTCTGGGTTCGTGGGGGGTGTGTGCGTGTGGTGCGTGGTGTGTGAGTGTCTGGGTTCGTGGGGGGTGTGTGCGTGTGGTGCGTGGTGTGTGAGTGTCTGGGTTCGTGGGGGGTGTGTGCGTGTGGTGCGTGGTGTGTGAGGGTGTGAGTGTATGGGTTTGCGGGGGGTATGTGCGTGGGATGTGCGCGCTGTGCATGTGTGGTGCGTGGTGTGTGAGTGTATGGGTTCGTGGGGGGTGTGGTGCGTGGTGTGTGAGTGTATGGGTTCGTGTGGTGCGTGGTGTGTGAGGGTGTGAGTGTATGGGTTCGTGGGGGGTGTGTGCGTGGTGTGTGAGTGTATGGGTTCGTGGGGGGTATGGTGCGTGGTGTGTGAGTGTATGGGTTTGCGTGCGTGTGTGGTGCGTGCGGTGCGTGCGGTGTGCAGCAGCAGCGGCAGCAGCGGCACGCCGTCCCTCACGCCCCTCTCGGTGTCTCCCTCCCTGCAGGAGGCCGCCCCTCACTCCCAGCTCCTGCCGCTTCATCCTCGTCGCCTAGCAACCGTCTCCCCGGACAACCGCTCCACTCTGCGGGGCCATCCTCCTCCATCCGCCTCTCCTCCTCCTCCTCCGCCTCCTCCCTCTCTCCCGGGCGCCGCCTGCGGCCCTGCGAGCCCCGGCGGCAGCATGGGCAGCCAGCCTAGCGCGCCGCGCAAAGACGGCAAGGAGGGCCGGGAGGCCAAGGCCGTGGGAAAAACCAAAGCCAAGAAGCGCAAGGAGAAGGCCGTCCCCCGGGCGAGCGCCGCGGACGACCGTCACCGCCGCTCGCTGGACGTGAAGCCCCCCGGTGGGGGGGGGCCGGCGTGGCCGGGCGACGTCGCCGCCGGGCGCCGCCGCTCGGAGGTCGTCTCGGAGCGCCGGTACGCGGAGGTCGCCGAGCGGCCGTCTTCTCCGCGGGGGGCGGCGGCGGCGTGGCCGGGCGCGGAGAGCGTGCGCATCACGCGGCAAGAGGACGAGAGCTTTGGCCTGGACGTGGAGGTGAAGTCGTCGCGGCCTGTGCGGGTCCTCGTCGTGAACCTCCACCTGGGGGGGGTGGCCGAGCGCGTGAGTCGCCCACGCTCGCCCTCCCTCGCTCGCACCGGCTCTCGCTCGCTAAATTACTCGCCCTCTCGCTCCTCGCGCGTGCTGTCTGTGCTGCTCTCTGTCTCTCTCTCGCTTGCTCGATCAATCACTTGCTCACGCATTCACTCGCTCCCTCGCACGCACACACTCACCGTCTCACGTACTCTCTCACTCGGTCCCACCGCCATTCAATCCACGCGCTCACTGGCACGCACTCTTTGCACATCGCTCCCACTCGCACACGTGCACAAATCTACATACGCAAAGACAAAGCTTTTACCAGACTGTAGGATCGCTATTAGGGAATGTGTAACACCTATGACTTGCGGCATGGCACGCGAGGGGGTGGGTGGCCAGCACCACGCACGCAAGGTCCCCGTTGTCTCTCCAATGCTGATATTTAAATACACCATAGCAGGTATTTATTTAAGGCCGAACTGACCTAGAGGAGGCCCAGGACCGGTTCAGAAATTCGCCATGGTTATTGGTTGTGAGCAGGAATCAAACTCTGGTCGCCGGGTTCTAGCGCAGTGCGCTAATTCCCGTGCCTTCTCACCATTTTGAGACGCGTGCTCACAGTGGTAGCCCCCCCCCCCCCCCCCTTTGTCTCCTTCATGCTGCTAATCCCTCACTGTCTGCGGCACGCACTGTTCACCCCCACCGCTCCCTGCACCCGCCGTCTCGTCCTGTCGGTGGGGGAGCAGGGGGGGCTGGGTGGGAGCAGGGGGAGCTGGGTGGGAGCAGGGGGAGCTGGGTGGGAGCAGTGGGAGCAGGGGGGGCTGGGTGGGAGCAGGGGGGGCTGGATGGGAGCAGGGGGAGCTGGGTGGGAGCAGGGGGGGCTGGGTGGGAGCAGGGGGGGCTGGGTGGGAGCAGGGGGAGCTGGGTGGGAGCAGGGGGGGCTGGGTGGGAGCAGGGGGAGCTGGGTGGGAGCAGGGGGGGGCTGGGTGGGAGCAGGGGGAGCTGGGTGGGAGCAGGGGGAGCTGGGTGGGAGGAGGGGGGGCTGGGTGGGAGCAGGGGGAGCTGGGTGGGAGCAGGGGGGGCTGGGTGGGAGCAGGGGGAGCTGGGTGGGAGGAGGGGGGGCTGGGTGGGAGGAGGGGGGGGGGCTGGGTGGGAGCAGGGGGAGCTGGGTGGGAGCAGGGGGAGCTGGGTGGGAGCAGGGAGGGCTGGGTGGGAGGAGGGGGGGGGCTGGGTGGGAGCAGGGGGGGCTGGGTGGGAGCAGGGGGGGGGTTGGGTGGGAGCAGGGGGGCTGGGTGGAAGCAGGGGGGGCTGGGTGGGAGGAGGGGGGCTGGGTGGGAGCAGGGGGGGGCTGGGTGGGAGGAGGGGGGGGCTGGGTGGGAGGAGGGGGGGGCTGGGTGGGAGCAGGGGGGGCTGGGTGGGAGGAGGGGGGGCTGGGTGAGAGGAGGGGGGGCTGGGTGGGAGCAGGGGGAGTTGGGTGGGAGCAGGGGGGGCTGGGAGGGAGCAGGGTGGGAGCTGGGTGGGAGCTGGGTGGGAGGAGGGGGGAGCTGGGTGGGAGCAGGGGGGGCTGGGAGGGAGGAGGGGGAGCTGGGTGGGAGGAGGGGGGGCTGGGTGGGAGCAGGGGGGGCTGGGTGGGAGCAGGGGGAGCTGGGTGGGAGGAGGGGGGGCTGGGTGGGAGCTGGGTGGGAGCAGGGGGAGCTGGGTGGGAGGAGAGGGTAGCTGGGAGGGAGTGAATGCCAGATTCTTTGAAGGAATTTAATTTATGCAAATAATAATATGTGCATTGTGTCACTCGACACCCCTGCAAACGAGACGTTCCACACTCATGGACTTGTGACAGCTGCATTGCATTACCCGGGCAGGGCAGCTCTGTTCATAAATCCTGACAAGATCCAGGTGGAAGCCTGGAAGAAGCCAGGAGGAAGAGAGGTGGAAGCTTGGTGGAAGCCAGAAGGGAGCCAGGAGGAAGTAACGAGGTAGCCTGGTGAAGGTCAGGAGGGAGCCTGGTGGAAGCCAAGAGGAACCCTCAAGGGCGCTGAGTGGAAGTAAGGAGAGTCGGGTGAGAGCATGGGTTAGAGTAATTTGCAGGGTTCTCAACTCTGGAATTACAACAAAACTGGGACGCAACATGGGAAGAAGAGCAATATCTGGCAATAGCAGAAGAGGTGGGAATGAGCAGTGAACGTGCCCTGAGCGCTGGTGTGTCGTCGTTGTTACGACGCCGACAAAAGCCGGCACTCGTGATGTCTCCAGGGAGACTCCAGAACGACAGCTACGTCATTACTTAGCAAGAGGACGATCCTGGGACAACCAGGACAGGTGAAACCTCTAGCCTGGTGGGAGTCGGGTAGGAGCCGGGTGGGAGAAGCCGGCTCGGAGCCGTGCCGACCGGTTGGCCCCCACCCGTCGGACCGGTTACGCGAGGTCCCCGGTGCCAGCGTGAGGCCCACGGAAGCGAGGAGGCAGCGTCCTCATGCGGGGTCACTGAGGCCCACGTGGCCTGCCACCATCACCACCACCGCTACCACCATCACCGCTACTACTACTGCCACCACCACCATCATAACCGCCGCCGCTACCGCCACCACCACCGCCACCATCACCACTACCATCACCGCCACCACCATCACCGTCACCACCAATACAGCAGCTACCACCGCCATCATCATCACCACCAAAGACAAAGATCTCCCGTATAGCCTGAATAGACTGTTGGGGCAAGTGCTGTTAGCGAGCACCTATGAAGGCCAGCACGGCACGCGAGGGGGTGGGTGGCCAGCACCACGCCCGGCCGCATTTGTCTCCCCACACTGCTTCAAGTACTCATTTGAGGCTGAGTCGACCTAGGGGAGGCCCAGGACCGGTTCAAATAATCGTCACTGGTGTTGGCCGTGAACGGTTTGTAGCGCAACGCGCAAACCCCTACACCACCACTCCTCATCACCACCGCCACCACCGCCACCACAGACAGGCAGCCACACAGGTGTAGCACAGGGCTTATCACGAGGGTCAGAAGGTTTGGCAAATAGTTTGCAGGTCAACGCGCAAGGTCAGAGCTGGGTCACCAACCACATCCCCAGTGCTGAGAAACAATCTGCTGCAAATCACTCAATAGGGTTTTCATAGCAGCAGCAGCCGCAACTTTGCCGCCTCGCACTGCAAACACTTGGCAGGACCCTCCTGAAAAGGTGTCTTGAGACTCTACGTTCCCACCACTCACCGGCTCCCTCTGCTGCGATCGTTCCCAATGCAGTACTGTTTCTACTGCCATAGTGAGATGGACACTGGATGCGGTGTGCCGGGGCGAGATTAATCCCTACCCTCCGTTATGCGTGGCTGCTGGTCGCCGTGGCGACGCGGTCCTCGCAGGAGGTGGGCGGGCGGCTGCTGCCAGGAGACGAGATCGTGGTGGCAAACGGCATCGCCGTGGAGACGCTCTCGTACCAGGAGGCGCGGCAGCACCTGGCGCACCTGGCGCACTCCACCACGCTGGTGCTGACCAAGCGCACGCCCAGCGCCACCACCACCGCCCCTCTGCGGCCCTCCAGCGCGCCAGGTGAGGCTCACCTGCAGCTCACCAGTAGAGCAGCGCACTTGTACAGCTCACCAGCTTAGCGGGCCACTGACACACCAGCTCACCAGCTTAGCGGGCCACTGACACACCAGCTCACCAGCTTAGCGGGCCACTGACACACCAGCTCACCAGCTTAGCGGGCCACTGACACACCATCTCACCGAGACAGCAGCTCACTGACACAGCAGCTCACCAGCCTAGCGGGCCACTGAAACACCATCTCACTGACATAGCAGCTCACTGACAGAGCAGCTCACTGACACACCAGCCCACTGACACAACAGCTCACTGACACAGCAATTGACATGTAACGTTGCTGTGGCCGTGACGCGAGTTCCGCCTGCATTGTCTCTCGCACGAGGAGTCGGAGGCGTGCGGAGACCGGCGCCGCCCGTGCCGGTGGCCGCCGGCCCCACCGGCCGCAGCGCGGGTGACTCGCCGGACGCGGGACCGCGAGCGCACAATGGCGCCGCCGGCAGCGCCGGCAGTGCCGGCAGCGTGGGCAGCGTGAGCAGCGCGAGCAGCGATCCGGCGTCGGAGCGCGCCGTACCGCCCGGCTCCTGGGCGCTGGCGCGTCGGTCTCCCGCCGGCACCACGACCACCGGCAGCAGCGGCGGGAGCATCGGCAGCGACGGCGAAAGCGACGACAGCGACGTCGCTGTAGAGAGGGGCGCGTCACCCGGGAGAGGGGGAGCGGTGAGGGCGGCGAGGGCCGAGGGAGCGCCGCCGGGGGTGGCGGCGGTGCCCCCCGGGGGGAGCAGTGCCGGCGGCCGGCGGGGCTCGGGGTCTTCCGACCCGACCTCCGACTCGGAGGGGGAGTCGCTCGCGTCTGGACGATCGGGACGGGAACGTTCGGAACGGGAAGAGGAGGAGGAACGGGGGCGCGGGGGGAGGGGGGAACTCCCGGAGGGCACGCGCGTGGGCCCGGCTCGGCCACGGCGAGAGAGGGAACGCCGGGAGGAGGAAAGCTCCAACAGCGAAGAGGAACGTTTGGAAGAGGAATGCGTGGAGAGGGAATGTTTAACATTGGAACGTTTAGAAAAGGAGCGTTTGCAGAGGGAAAGCTTGAAAGAGGAACAGAAGCGTTTGGAAAGGGAACGTTTGGAGAGGGATGAGGAGGAACAGGAGCGCGTGGCGAGGGGGGAACGCCCGGAGGGTACGCACGTGGGCCCGGCTCATCCACACCGAGAAAGGGAACGCCGGGAAGAGGATAGCTCGGACAGCGAAGAGGAACGTTTGGAAGAGGAATGTGTGGAGAGGGAATGTTTAACGTGGGAATGCTTAGAAAAGGAGCGTTTGCAGAGGGAAAGCCTGAAAGAGGAACAGAAGCGTTTGGAAAGGGAACGTTTGGAGAGGGAACGTTTGGAGAGGGATCGTTTGGAGAGGGAACGTTTGGAACAAGAACACTTGAATAAAGAAGAGGAACGTTTGAACCAAGAACGCATGGAACAGGAATGTTTGGAGAGGGAACGCTTAGAAGAGGAAGAAGAACGTTTGGAATGGGAACGCTTAGAAGAAGAACGTTTGGAGCAGGAACGCTTCGAGGAAGAGAGACGTTTGGAGAGGGAACGCTTTGAAGAACAACGTTTGATCAAAGAACGTTTGGAGAGGGAACGCTTGAAAGAAGAACGTTTGGAGAGGGAACGCTTAGAGGAAGAGGAACATTTGGAGAGGGAACGTGTGGAATTGGAACGTTTGGAGAGGGAACGCTTCGAGGAAAAGGAACGTGTGGAGAGGGAGCGTTTGGAATGGGAACGTGTGGAGAGGGAACGCTTAGAGGAAGAGGAACGTTTGGAGAAGGAACGCTTCGAGGAAGAGGAACGTGTGGAGAGGGAACGTGTGGAGAGGGAGTGTGTTGAGAGGGAGCGTGTGGAGAGGGAACGTGTGGAGAGGGAACGTTTGGAGAAGGAACGCTTTGAGGAAGAGGAACGTGTGGAGAAGGAGCGTGTGGAGAGGGAACGTGTGGAGAGGGAGCGTGTGGAGAGGGAACGTGTGGAGAGGGAGCGTGTGGAGAGGGAACGTGTGGAGAGGGAGCGTGTGGAGAGGGAGCGTGTGGAGAGGGAGCGTGTGGAGAAGGAGCGTGTGGAGAGGGAACGTGTGGAGAGGGAGCGTGTGGAGAGGGAGCGTGTGGAGAGGGAGCGTGTGGAGAGGGAGCGTGTGGAGAGGGAGCGTGTGGAGAGGGAGCGTGTGGAGAGGGAACGTGTGGAGAGGGAGCGTGTGGAGAGGGAGCGTGTGGAGAGGGAACGTTTTGAAGAGGAACTTTTGGAGCTGGAACTCTTAAAAGGGAGGGATCGCAGCTCGTGGTCTGATTTCAGTTCCAGGGAAGCTGGACCAAGATCTGCAAAATCCGAACCGGAGGAGTCCAGCGACTCGGACTCGGATTCGGACCACGGGCGCCCGCCGGTGGGCCCAGCAGCCCCCGGGCAGCCGGGACCGCGGGATGGGCCGGCGGTAGCGGCCATGTATGCCAACGCCGTGGACAGCACCGAGAGCAGCGACGACGACAACGACGATGACGACAATGACGATGACGAGCTGGAGCTTTGCTGCCCTGTGGCGGCGCCCGTGTCGGGGTCCAGCGCGGCCAACGGGCCCGGCTCTTTCCCGACACCCGCTCAGCTCCACCTGCTGCTCTCACCCCGCCTCTCCTCCTCCTCCTCCACCTCCTCCACCTCGTCGTCGCTGGCTTCGTTATCGCCGGTCGTGGCGGTCCGGGGTGCTCCGTCATCGCCGCCGCCGCCGCCGCCGGTGGAGGGTAACTCATTAACCGAAATGGGCGGAGGGGGCCCGGCAGTGCCGCCCCAGGGTCAGAGTCTCCCCGAACGAGAGACTCTGTCGTCGCCTAGCGGAGGCGGCGGGCACACGGGCGCTGCGGCGGTGACGGCGGCGGTGAACGTTCGAGTGCCAGAAGCGAGCGGCGGCGGTGGCACCGTGGCACGGGCCAAGGCGGACGGAATCGAGATGTCCAAGCTGAAAGGTAACGGCGCTCCGCTCGCCCGGTCTGCGTGTCGGGGTTCGCCGCGATTCGCTCGCCCTGCTGGCCCTCTCGGCATTTTGGCACCGCGAGCCGCTTGGTTTACGACACCACTAGAGCCGCCGCAATAAACCTCGCATTTTTGGAATTCATGCAAAGTGTGACCCTTGCCCGACGCCGGTAACAGCCGGGTGGTCGGTGGGCGCCTCGGTGTTCTGCCGCCGCAACTGGTGCAGCGACAGCGGCCGTAGCATGACAACGCAAGGGCACAACGAAGAAAGTTTCCGATGAGCGCGCGCGTGCCACCAGCAGCGACGTGACAGAACGAACGCTGGTCAGTGCAGGCAGAGGCACGCAGAGACGGCGGAATGGAATTCCATTGAGAGGTGGAAAGAGGTTTGCGTGGATTACAGAATGCACATCTCGCCACGGTGGGATACAGGAGGTCGTGGGTTTCATCCCGATCCTGACGAAACCTGTATATTTGGAGTTTTCCTCTCTCTCCCCACGGTCGCGTGGATTTTTTGAGTTTTTCCTTCCACATTTAGAAGCATGCGTTTAGAGTATTTGGCTGCTATAAATTTCCACATGATAAGCCACTTCGTGGAGCTATCATTTGTGGCCAGGTCGCTTCTGAAAAAGAGTTATATCGCTCAGTAGGCCTTACCTGGTAAAATAAAGAATAGCTTTTAGTTTAATGACATCATCCAAACTGTGAAGTGAGTGAGGCTTGGGCAGGATGCATCATGGCCAGAAGGCGGCACGATGATGGCCGCTGATCGAGACGAACGACGAAGTGGCAGCTGAGGGATGGAACGCGGAGTCCTAGGGGATGGCCACCCCTTGAGGAGATGGAGCGACGATGAGGTCGGCGTGTGGTGGCTGTGTGGATCGTTGCATCGCAGGATCGTATGATGTGGCGACTGCTTGGGGAGGCCTTCATCCAGCAGTGGATTGACCACGGGCTGATGACAATGATGACATCTTTATTGATTCACAATCATTGCGGCTGATGTGGCGGTGCTCGTGATGCTAGGCAGAGTCTCGGATTGGTGTTGGGCTCATTGCTGTACTGGATTTTACTTGCAGCGCTTTTGTCCTTGTAGTGACCCTTGGTCACTCTTGCAAAAGAGACTCACCCTGGTCTCTGTGATGTCTCACCTCGATAAACAAAACAAACGTGAAGCCTGAAGTGACGGCACAACGTGCAGCGCGGATTGCAATCGTAGCAAACATCACACCACACGCGCACACTGGAGTGGGTGGCACGCGTCTCGTGACCATGGCCATAGAGGGCGGGTCATACTGGATGTGGTGTGCTGCACTTGGATATATGATGGCGCCTCCTCTTCCACCGGAACATTAACAAAGTTCTTCCCCACTTCTCACTCGCTCTGTCCGTGCTGCACCTCTTCCCTGCCTCATCCCCTAGCCCACGCCTCCTCCGAGTCCTGATCTTCATGCAGCCATGCACGGTCAGAGTGGTTCATTGTAATTGGTGTAGTTTAGCGCGTGCGCTACGAGCACTATCGCTCTCATAGCGCAGGCCGATCGTAGGAAAGGCGCTGCTGTGGTCTCGAAGCAGGCGGCGACGCTGCTGCTGCTGCTGCTGAGTGGGATCCCAACTGAGTGACTTGCGGTGTAATTTTTCTAATGTGGCAAATTTTGGACCGTGACACCGGTGGCACAAAGTTGCCTGCTTGTTGCAAACGACGTCGCGGGATCTGTAACGTCCACTGTGAAGTGGATAGCGCGAAGTAGTGGTAGCTTACAGTTGATACGCACAGTAGCAGTCACAAACCACTGCAACAAGCGGCTAACACTGCACCGCTGGAGAATATCACCGCTTCAGCTTACCCATAGTTATAGCCCCGGGGTTGTAACACCACCCCCGGGGGTTATAACACCACCCCCGGGGGTTGTAATACCACCCCCGGGGGTTTTAACGCCACCACCCCGGAGGTTGTAACACCACCCCGGGGGTTTTAACGCCACCGCCCGTGGGGGTTGTAACACCACCCCGGGGGTTTTAACGCCACCCCCGGGGGTTGTAACACCACCCCTGGGGGTTGTAACGCCACCCCCGGGGGTTCTAACGCCACCCCCGGGGGTTGTAACACCACCCCCGTGGGGGTTGTAACACCACCCCCCGTGGGGGTTGTAACACCACCCCTCGTGGGGGTTGTAACACCACCCCTCGTGGGGGTTGTAACACCACCCCTCGTGGGGGTTGTAACACCACCCCTCGTGGGGGTTGTAACACCACCCCCGGGGGGGTTGTAACGCCACCCCCCGTGGGGGTTGTAACACCACCCCCGGGGGGGTTGTAACACCACCCCTCGTGGGGGTTGTAACGCCACCCCCGTGGGGGTTGTAACACCACCCCCGTGGGGGTTGTAACACCACCCCTCGTGGGGGTTGTAACGCCACCCCCGTGGGGGTTGTAACACCACCCCTCGTGGGGGTTGTAACGCCACCCCCGTGGGGGTTGTAACACCACCCCCGTGGGGGTTGTAACACCACCCCTCGTGGGGGTTGTAACGCCACCCCCCGTGGGGGTTGTAACACCACCCCCCGTGGGGGTTGTAACGCAACCCCCCGTGGGGGTTGTAACACCACCCCCCGTGGGGGTTGTAACCACCCCCGTGGGGGTTGTAACACCACCCCCGTGGGGGTTGTAACACCACCCCTCGTGGGGGTTGTAACGCCACCCCCCGTGGGGGTTGTAACACCACCCCTCGTGGGGGTTGTAACGCCACCCCCCGTGGGGGTTGGCGCCGCTACGCCGAAGGGTGGAGCAGTGGCTCGGTGATTTGCGCGCTGAACTCTGAACCCGGCGAGTAGAGTCCGGTTTGCGGTAAGAGCCACCGCCCTGTCGTAGGGTGAGCGGTGTAAGAGACGCCCCTCTCACTAAACCGCACTGACCAGCGCGGTGAAGTATGGTCAAAGATCGCCCGTGTCTGACACGGAGCCTGTGTTGGGGCCTTCACCCGGCAGCGGGGCAGCGTGGCTCCCTTTGTGAGCCGCCGTCGTGCGATTTGTCAGAATCAGAATATTTATAGTGGATGAATCTGATGAGCTATAAAGCTCTTTCACAACTGTCCCGTAGGAGGCGGGTCAAAATGTCACAACAATACAAAAACATGACAGGAGTGAAAAACACACGAAAAGTAAACAAAACATACACTTAAAACTAAACTATATTTTTTCTTACCAGCTAAAGCCCACTGAGGTATTAACTTATTTTTCAGAGAAGCGACCTGGCTTACAAATGATAGCTCAACAAAGTTGCTTATCACGTGGAAATGTATGTCAGCCAAAATAATAATAAAAAAATCAATGCAAGTTTCTAAATGTGGAGGGAAAAACCGGAGGACCCGGAGAAGAAAATCCCACGCGACCGTGGGGAGAAGATGCAAATAGCAAATATTCAGGTGTCGGGATCGAACCTCCTACCTCCTATGTACCAGGCAAGGAAAATAACATCACACCACCGTGGCGCCCTTTAAATAATAAGTATATAAGTTCGCTGCCTCTGGTATGGATTGAAACAAACATAGATCTGGAGTACAATACAATTTGGCACAACATCGCTGTTGCGGCTCGAGAAACAAATGCAATCGGATTCTTCTCTGGAAAGGAATAAAGAGATGCAGTTTCTGGAGCTTCTCTTGGAGTTCAAGATTTCGCTCTGGCTGCTCTCCGTTGGTACCCCCTCAAGGGCAGTAACGTCCTTTGAGTATTTCAATCCTCCCTCCCTCCTCCATCTCCCTCATCTGCACCCCGAGCGATGGAACTCCCTCCCCCGACACCTTAACCCCCCACCCACCTCCCAACAAAACCACCTGGCCTCGCCTACAGCTCCCTCCTCTACCCTTGAGCAGAACCCTGCCCTAACCGTGCCCACCTCCCGAGCCATCTCGCTGCTCCCTCTTCCTGAACGCTCTCCCTAAACCTCTTGTTGTCGTATAGATGTCTCCCTTGTGAATTCTGAGATCTGTGGCGTTGCTGTTTTCGAAACATCACTGTTGTTGACACCTCTGTTGTTGCTGTCGTATTGTAGGCCTCGCTATCAGGAGCGGTCCGAGCGCGGGGCCCACGGTGGCCCCCAGGGCCCCGGCGCCATCTCTGCCGGGCCCCGTCACGTCCCTGCAGCTGCTGTCGCGACGGCTGCCGTCCCCGCTCTCCGTCGCTTCCGACGAGGACGAGGACGAGGACGGCCGCGGGAAACCACCTGAGTCCGCGGGGAGCGGCGGCAGCGAGGAGGCGGTGTCGCCCCGAGACAAATCCGACGAAATCCCGGAAGGAACCGGGCATGGGAGAGGTAGCCCCATGCCAGTGGAGGAAACCGATTGGGCCTGTGGATCCGGCGACGAAGGGGGGTCCCTGGAGGAGGGGCAGCGCGGGGAGGAGCACGACCCTTGCCGGCCGCCAAACGACGTCTGCGCCGCGGAGCCGAGCGGCGGCGACGCGGCGACGCCGATGCCCGGCCTCGACTCGCCGAGCGGTGGAGGGGCGAGGAGCCTCCCGCCCAGCCCCCCGCCCAGCCCCCCGCCCAGCCCCCCGCCCAGCCCCCCGCCCAGCCCTCCGCCCAGCCCCCCTCCGAGCCCCCCTCTGCAGCGGCGCGAGTCCAACGGCTACTCCGATGCGTCGGCATCTCCGCCCAACGGCCGGGCGTCCCCTGCAGGGGAGGTCGAGCCGGAATCGCGCAGCCCCCCGCTCCCCCCACAAAGCCCCCGCTCCACAAGCCCCCCGCTCCCCCCACAAAGCCCCCCGCTCCCCCCACAAAGCCCCCCGCTCCTCCCACACAGCCCCCCGCGGTCACCTCCAGCGGTTCTCCCGCAGGAGCCTCTGTTCGGTACTCCGTCCCGCACTCCTCAAGGGCCCGCACCCAGCCCCCCACATTCACCACCGCCCAGCCTCTCTCGGGGCCTCCACGCAAGCCCCCCTCGGGGCTCGCCACCAGGCTCGCCCCCTCGCAGCCTCTCGCCGTTCACTGACCAGGATCTGGTCGCCGTGACGTCGACGCGACCGCAGGAGCGTTGGGAACGCGATGGCGCCGTGGTCCCCCGGGGCCCACCCACCATTTCCTCGTCACTTCCATCGTTACCGCGGTCACCGGGCCAACGCGTGGCTTCCTCGGGGAGCGACTCGTCCGGGGAGCAGGAGGTGCGGGTCCAGGAGAAGAAGCCACGGGCGTCCTCCCCTTTTAAAGAGGCGTCCGCTCCGGACGCAGTCATCCATGACGCGAGGCCCAGAGCCGGTGGCAGCCACAGCGGCGACGACGACGACGAAGTGGACTGGAAGCAGCGTGGGGCGAAGCCAGCTAGAGGGGGAGATGCCCCCCACTTTGGCAGCCCTCCGGGGACGACCTGGACGGCGCAGGAGCCAGCAGCTCCGAGCGAGCGGCCCCCGGTGCTTCCTCGGCGCCGACCTCCGCTGCCCGCGGGGCTGACCCCGAGCGCCGCGGCCGATCTCCCCGAGACGCGGGGCGAGGGCGCGGACCCGGACTTCGAGTTGGAGGAAGCCGCCTACCGCCCGCAGTCGGTGTGGCAGAGGGTCCGCTCCTACGAGGTCCTCGGCGTCTCGGCGCCGCGCCGGCCCAGTGCCAAGGACGCCACCGCCGCATCCGCCGGTCGCGTCTGGCCGCCCAAGCGCCGCGACTCGATCGACGAGCCGGATGGCAGCGGCGGGAGCGCGGCGGGTGACTCAGTGGACTTGGGGCGTGGGTCCACCAGCCCGGCGTTGTCCCTCGACGAGGCGCGGGCCGGGGCGTGGCCGGCGCCGGTCGCTCGCCCGCACACCGGTGCCGGTGCCGGCCCCGCCGAGTCGGGCCGCAAAGATGGCCGAGAGTCGGAGGCCAAAATTGGAAACTACATCTTCCGGTCGGCAGGAAAACCGAAGCCGGACGGCACGGTGGCGTGGCCGCCCCGGGACGGCGACACGCTGGTGGTGCACGCACGGCCCGTCGTCATCGTCGAGAAGGAGGCGGCCGTGCGGGGTGCTGATGGCGACGGCCGTGCGGGCGGGAAGCAGAAGGTGGAAGTTGGCGGCGGGGAGAGAAGGGGTTTCACTGGGAGCCTCGGGTTCGACCACGGCGCCGCCACACGGGCCAAGAGCCTGCCCAGCTTGCTGGATGACGCCGACACCGGCCGGAGGCCCGCGCCAGAGACCGCCGTCCCGCAGAGATCTGCGGCGGGGCCCGGCAGCTTGGGCGACGGCAGGCGGGAGAGCTGGCGGTGGAGCGTGGCGGAAGGGGCCCTGACGCGGAGCTCCACCGTGGGACCCAGCAAGAACTGGCGGTGGAGCGGGGCGTACGACGTGGGACGGAGCAGCGGCGCTGAGGTGGAACCGAGCTGGTCCATGAGGTGAGCGCAAGCTGTCCAGCGGTGACCAGATCGGTCCCATGCTAACGGGGACCACCTGTTCCGAAAGTCTGGGTGACCTCACCGATTGACAGGCACTGGCTCAGATTTCGCCGATGTTGGTCGCGAGCGGTCGTCCGGCTCATAGGGCGGTGCACTACCCACTGCCCCAGTGCTCCCAATCACACATGGACAACACAAAACCCCCTGTCAAGGCTATGTAGGCGGTTGGGGCAAGTGCTGTGTGTTTACGTGCGTGTGTGTGTGTGCGTTAATTAGGGAGCTGTGGCGTGGTGGTTAGCATTCTGCGCTACGAAGCCGGTGATCCGAGTTCGAAAACTCTTCATGACTAACATCATTGACGATTATCTGAACCAGTCCCGAAATTCCCCAAGGGCAACTCGCCCTTAAAATCAGTACCTGATGCGATGTGTAAACGAGCACTTGGGGAGACAAAGGCGGCCGGGCGTGGTACTGGCCACCCACCCCCTCGTGTGCTGTGCCGGCTTCATAAGTGCTCGCTAACAGCACTTGCCGCAAAAGTCTGTTCAGGCTGTATGAGGGATCTTTGTTTTGTGGGGAGCGGTAGTGCAGTGGTCAGCACGCTGTGCTACGAACCCGACAACCAGAGTTAAATTCCTGCTCATGGCCAACACCACTGACGATTTTCTGAACCGATCCTGGACCTCCCCTAGGTGAACTCAGCCTCATAGGTTCTTGCTAACAGCACTTGCCCCAACAGTCTACGAAGGCTAAATGTTGTTGTTGTTGTGCCAGTCTGCTGGAGCTGGAGAGTTGTGCGCCACACGAGGGGCGCCGGGCACTCGTGACGTCGCTCGTCCCATGGGACCACGTGCAGCAGCTGATCGCACAGGCCGAGGAGTGCGGAGCCACTCAGGTGCCACCCCCGTGACCCCTATGACCCCCCCATGAACGCTCGTGACCCCCCCATGACCTCTGAGGAGTGGCATGCCCAATCGACACCACCCTGTCCCGGACAGTGACCCTGCGTGTTTGTGTCAGTCGGTGATGGTGCGGATGGGTGTGCGTGTCTTGGGGGAGCGGTGGTGCAGTGGTTAGCACACTGCGCTACGAATCCGGTGACCCGAATTCGATTCCCGCTCGCGACAAATAACAGTGTGAATATCTCAACGAGTCTTAGGCCTGCCCTAGGTCGACTCAACCTTAAATGAGTACCTGGCAAAGTATGTAAACTTCAGCAATGGGGCTGGGGAGACAAATGCGGCCGGGCGTTGTGCTGGCCAACCATCCCCTCGTGTGCCTTGCCGGCCTTCATTGGTGCTCGTGAAGAGCACTTGCCCCAACAGCCTGTTAAAGGCTATACGGGGAACCCTTGTATTTGTATGTATCTTATACCTGGTGTGCTGTGTAAATAGCAGCACTGGGGAGATAAAGGCGGGCAGGCATGGTGCTGGCCACCTACCTCCTCATGTTCACCTATGTATACACAGGTGGTGCATCTGTCAGTCATCTCCCGTATCCCCTGAGTCCCTCCCATGACCTGCCAGCAACGAGAGCCTTCCACACACGACGGCCTCAAAGTGCACCCAGCCTGGCACAAGCGCCATGGTGACATCACAGCCACTCATTGTCGAATGGTGGCTGTTGTTGAATGTAGTGTGTATTGTGAGTGTGGTGGTGGTTGTTGTCGTGTGTATTCTGAGTGTGGTGGTGGTGGTTGTAGTGTGTATTGTGAGTGTGGTGGTCGTTGTTGTAGTGTGTCTTGTGAGTGTGGTGGTGGTGGTTGTAGTGTGTATTGTGAGTGTGGTGGTCGTTGTTGTAGTGTGTATTGTGAGTGTGGTGGTGGTTGTAGTGTGTATTGTGAGTGTGGTGGTCGTTGTTGTTGTAGTGTGTCTTGTGAGTGTGGTGGTGGTGGTTGTAGTGTGTATTGTGAGTGTGGTGGTGGTTGTTGTAGTGTGTCTTGTGAGTGTGGTGGTGGTTGTTGTAGTGTGTCTTGTGAGTGTGGTGGTGGTGGTTGTAGTGTGTATTGTGAGTGTGGTGGTCGTTGTTGTAGTGTGTCTTGTGAGTGTGGTGGTGGTGGTTGTAGTGTGTCTTGTGAGTGTGGTGGTTGTAGTGTGTATTGTGAGTGTGGTGGTGGTTGTTGTAGTGTGTCTTGTGAGTGTGGTGGTGGTTGTAGTGTGTCTTGTGAGTGTGGTGGTGGTGGTTGTAGTGTGTATTGTGAGTGTGGTGGTGGTTGTAGTGTGTCTTGTGAGTGTGGTGGTGGTTGTATTGTGAGTGTGGTGGTGGTTGTTGTAGTGTGTCTTGTGAGTGTGGTGGTGGTGGTTGTTGTAGTGTGTATTGTGAGTGGGGTGGTGGTTGTTGTAGTGTGAGTGTGGTGGTGGTTGTTGTATTGTGAGTGTGGTGGTGGTTGTAGTGTGTATTGTGAGTGTGGTGGTGGTTGTAGTGTGTATTGTGAGTGTGGTGGTGGTTGTTGTTGTATTGTGAGTGGTGGTGGTTGTAGTGTGTATTGTGAGTGTGGTGGTGGTTGTTGTAGTGTGTATTGTGAGTGTGGTGGTGGTGGTTGTTGTAGTGTGTATTGTGAGTGTGGTGGTGGTGGTTGTTGTATTGTGAGTGGTGGTGGTTGTAGTGTGTATTGTGAGTGTGGTGGTGGTTGTTGTTGTATTGTGAGTGTGGTGGTGGTGGTTGTTGTAGTGTGTATTGTGAGTGTGGTAGTGGTGGTTGCTGTATTGTGAGTGTGGTGGTGGTGGTTGCTGTATTGTGAGTGTGGTAGTGGTGGTTGCTGTATTGTGAGTGTGGTGGTGGTTGTTGTTGTATTGTGAGTGGTGGTGGTTGTAGTGTGTATTGTGAGTGTGGTGGTGGTTGTAGTGTGTATTGTGAGTGGTGGTGGTTGTAGTGTGTATTGTGAGTGTGGTGGTGGTTGTTGTAGTGTGTATTGTGAGTGTGGTGGTGGTTGTTGTATTGTGAGTGGTGGTGGTTGTAGTGTGTATTGTGAGTGTGGTGGTGGTTGTAGTGTGTATTGTGAGTGTGGTGGTGGTGGTTGTTGTAGTGTGTATTGTGAGTGTGGTGGTGGTGGTTGTTGTAGTGTGTATTGTGAGTGTGGTGGTGGTGGTTGCTGTATTGTGAGTGTGGTGGTGGTGGTGGTTGTTGTATTGTGAGTGTGGTGGTGGTTGTAGTGTGTCTTGTGAGTGTGGTGGTGGTGGTTGTTGTAGTGTGTATTGTGAGTGTGGTGGTGGTGGTTGCTGTATTGTGAGTGTGGTGGTGGTGGTGGTTGTTGTATTGTGAGTGTGCGGCTGTGTGTGGACAGGTGTTGACCGACACGAGGGTCGTGGTTCTGCACAAGGAGGAGGGGGCGGGGCTGGGCTTCAGCATCGCCGGGGGCCACGACATGGAGACCAAACTGATCACTGTGAGCACACACACACCACACACACGCGCACACATGCACGTACACACACATACGTACGCACACACGCACACTCGCACACGCACACTCGCACACACACAACAACAACCGCCATTCGCCACTAAGTGGCGGTGACGTCACCACGACGCTTGTGCCAGGCCATGTGCACTTTGAGGCCACGTGAAGTGTCAAACGCCCGCTGGCAGGAGCTCACGGGGCAGACCCAGGTGCCACGGGTCGACTGACTGAGATGACCGAGATGACTGGCTGATGCACCACCTGTGCTCCCTACTGTGCCAACTTGCTGTGCTTTAGCCACCCGGCGCTCCGCTCGTTGTTGTGAGCGTCACTCCTCCGCCCTCCGTTGTTGTTGGAGGGCGACTGCCTCCAACTGCCCAGTAGCGTCCTTCACGAGCCTCCTCCGCAGAGGCCGTTCTTGACACCGCTGGTACCAGTCATCGGCAAGTCCACTCAGCTCCACGTCCTCCTGTACCACATCACTCCATCTCTTCTCTAGCCCGTGCCGCACCCGTTTAGCCCCCTCGATCTAGCCGAACAAAAGCTGTTTAGGCATGCGGTGGCTGGGCATGCGGGCTACATGACCCAGCCAACGCAGCCTTGCCTGCCGGAGCTCACCGATGGGACTTTGCCCAGATGTTTCAAGGATTTGTGAGCTCCTCACACAATCCAGCCTGGTTAAACCCAGGATGGGTCGTAGGCAGGCCAACCTAAATGTTTCTAACCGGCGAAGATGCTCCATTAGGGGGGTCCACGTTTTGCAAGCGTAGAGAGGGGAGGGAATGACTGTGGCCGAGAAGACCTGAAGCTTCGTGCGGAGCGACAGACCAGGTAGCTTCCACACAGCGTTACGCAACACGATGAAAAGATATTGCCGCTCGACTGATTCAGAGTGAGACCTCTGCTGTTAAACTGGAGCCGGTCATAAGCACACTGCCCAGGTATGGGAAACTCTCCACTCTCTCCACAACTGCCCCATCACCGATTGGGAGTTGTGGGGGTGGAGTGTCCGATGGTACAAAATACCCAGGCAGGTGCTTAGTTTTGGTGGGGCTGATGGTAAGGCCCCACCTCTTAGTGGCACGCTCCAGTCTCAGCAGCAGCGTCTCCAACTCCTCCTCTGAATGAGCAGCTATTACCAAATCATCGGCATACATAACGTGGTTGACCAATAGGGAGCCATCCCTTGATCGCACCCGGGCATCGATCAGCCTCCCATTGTATCTGTACCAAATGGAAATTCCCCCGGTACAGCTATTGAAGGCTTCACAGACTACGTGGTCAAAATAGATGTTAAATAATGTGGGAGCCAGAGGACATCACTGTCGCACCCCAAGGTGTACAGAGAAAGGCTCCGACTCCCGGCCACGTAGTTTTACCCGGGCCCGCTCACCATCATGAAGGTCCTTAATGATCGTGAGCAGAGGGTCAGGGACTCCGAAAGCACGAAGAACAACCCAGAGCCCAGGCCTACTGATGGTATCATAGGCCTTGACCAGGTCAATTTAAGGAGAGATGTAGGTCTTGTTGGAATTCCCTACACCTCTGCTGTAGCAGGTGGACAGAAAATATGGCATCTGTGCAGGACCGCCCTTTCCTGAAACCGCATTGGGGCTCCGCAAGCCTCTCCTCAGCGTGCCTGGCAAGGCGATGTTGAATAATTCTTGCCAGGACCTTTCCCGGCATACTGAGGAGTGAGATGCCCCTGTAGTTCTTCTTGGTTCTTTCGGTAAAGTCACGTAGAAGGGAAGTAATAAAATAATAAAAATAAAACATAATAAAATAAAATAATTCTCACGACGTTTCGGCTACAACGCAAGCAGCCGTCTTCAGGTGAAGACGGCTGAAGACGGCTGCTTGCGTTGTAGCCGAAACGTCGTGAGAATTATTTTATTTTATTATGTTTTATTTTTATTATTTTATTACTTCCCTTCTACGTGACTTTACCGAAAGAACCAAGAAGATGGATCCCTGCAGTCACGAAAGCTTTACATCGAGCCCCTGTAGTTGTTACAGTCTGTGCGGTCACCATTCTTAAAGGGGACCACCAGGGCATCCTTCCAATCCTACGGAATCCGTCCAGTGGTCGAGACTATTGTTATGATGTCATGTAGGGCAGTCTGTGCACAAACGCCACCCTCCCTCAGCATTTTGCTTGGGAGATCATCTCTGCCCGGTGCCTTTCCTGTTCTAAGACTCTAGATCGCCTTCAGTACTTCCTCAACAGATGGCACCTCAGCCAGCCACTCATAGGGGGTGACTACTTCTTCCAATATTAGAGGCACCGCAGCCTCAGCAGGGTCATCCCCACTTTATCCCACAATGTATTTCCAGGCTGAGGGATTTCCGCTCCCCCAGGACCTCACAGAAATGCTCAGCAAATCTGCAAACCTGTTCCTGGGGGACAGAGATTGGATCACCATTCTTTCCCCTCATGATGGTAATAGGTGTAGTGCTGCAAGTTACTTTTTTGATGAAGTAAAGAGCGACTTGAGATCGCGGGCCACTGAGGCAGATCTCCTCAGCAATCCGTGACCACCACCCATCCTTGCAGCACCTCACGGCTCTCCGAACCTTCGAGCGAAGGCTGTGGTAAGCCTCCTCATTCTCTGACGTGGGATGCTGTAGATAATGAGAGTGGGCCTGTCGCTTTTTCTCAGCCATCCTGAACACCTCTGTCAGCCAGGGTCTCTGGGGTGGTCTGGACCGTGTACCCAAAGCAGCCATTGCAGCTGCATGAGCCACAGTCCTAAACCTTGCCCATTTGCCCTCAACATCAGGAGGAGAGGGCACGATGCTAACCCCAGCTGCAAGTGATGATTAAATTATCGCTTGCAACTTTCATCAGCTAACTGAGACCAGGCCATTTTAGGTTGGAATGGGGTCCTGGGTGTACACCCACCACTGGAGTGGAAGAATGGCAGGCGCATCTTACAGATGACTAGTCGATGGTCAATGGGCAGATCAGCTCCACGGTAGGTCCTGGTGTCAAGGACATGGGCTTGCATCCGCACACGAACACATGCACGCACACACACACGCACACACACACGTTCACACGCACACACGCACACACGCACACACACACGTTCACACGCACGCGCACACACCCACACGCATACACGCACACACGCATACACGCACACGCACACACGCACACATACACGCACATATACGTACACACGCACACACACAAAGGCAAAGATCCACTGTCTATCCTTAGCAGGCTGTATTGGGGCAAATGCTGCGAGTGAGCACCTCCTCCACCCTCCATTGTTGGAGGGCGACTGCCTCCAACGGGAAGAGCAAAAGAACCCTTGATTAAGCACTGCTCATAGCGGACGTCCCTGTGGCTGGCGCCGTGGATCATTAACGTTCGTGCTGGTGCCGCCCACGACGCCGCAGGTCCACCGCGTGTTCTCCGAGGGTGTGTCTGCGCGGGAGGGCTCCATCCGACGGGGGGACCAGCTTGTGAGCGTGGGGGGCCGCGCCCTGGCCGGCGCTTCGCACGGCGACGCGCTAACGCTGCTGCACGCGGCGCGGCTGCCCCCCTCCGTGGTGGTGATCGTGCGCCGGACCCCGCTCTCGTCGCCGGTGCTTCTGCCGACGGCATCGCCAACGGGAGCACCGGGTTTCAGGCCCGGAGGCCGCAGCGCCGCCGCCGTTGCCAGCGTCATCACGGCAGCACTGTCTGCCGGTGAGCTAGCGCCACGTGCGTGGGAGCGAGAGGGGGGGGGGAGGCGGTGAGCGGCACCGGACGTGAGCTCAATCGAGCGACGCTCACCTGCTCCTTGCTCACGTGACGGTCGGCCTCGTGCCGCCCCTCGCCCTGCTCGCCCCGCTCGCTCACATGCCGCAGCTCACCCACACCTCGATCGCCCTCTTCGCCCACACCCCTCTCACCACCCGCACTTTCTGTGTAGCCCCCCCAGACCCCCAGGGCCACGTCTTCACCGTGACCATAGAGACCGCGACCTCGGGCCTGGGCCTGAGCCTGCAGGGTGGCCGTGGCTCCGTGCTCGGGGACCAGCCAATCACCATCAAGAAAGTCTTCCACGGTAACAGGCCATTGGCGTGCGGGGTCATGCCACCACCGGGCCTGGGCCGTCCGGTGATGTGAGCGAGCGATGACTCGCCCGGGTAGCAATTCCATCACTCGCCCAGTCGGATAGCAAATATCATTCCGCGGTGGTGACATCGCTGCTGTGTGGCCAGTGGTGCACAAGCACAATTAACAATTCCTCAGTGACACAGTACGAGTGTGTGGCCTTCAAAGGAAAAGTCTATCATGGGCCACGTTTCGGGCAATGCAGCTTCTTCGTCAAGCGTGTCGTTAGAGAGGCCAGAGAGAATGAATTATCATTGGGCCCATGGTGTAAACAAGTCTCCAACTCATGTCATCCACTCTCTCTTCTGGCCTCTCCATTGGCCGAAACGTCGCCTATTAAATATTTGTTATTGACACGGAATGCGCTGAGTTGTTTTGTTGGCTGTGCTTGTGCACCAACCACTGCCGACGCAGCGGCGTTTCCATCACCGTTGCGTTGGCTCTGGTGACGGCCTCATCCCGCCGCCACCACCGCCGCCACGCGCGAGTGTGGGCGACGCGCGTCCCCTTCCCTCGTGGGCGTCTCTGCCAATGAATTTCACCGCGGGAGCTTGTGAACGGAATTCCTCCGTGACAACGCTCTTTACAGGAAATGAGTTTCTTTGACAGATTTGTGTTTGTTGCCCCGTGTTTCATTTCTTCTGTCACGCAGTAGTTGTCTCTGCTCTGATTGCTGTTTGGTTCATTGCTTTTGGCATTGTGGTGACCCAGGTCACTCTTGCAAATGAGACTCATCCTGATCTGTTTGAGTTCTCACCTCGATAAACAAAACAAACGTGAAGCCTAAAAAGATGGCACAATGTGCAGCGCGGATCGCAATCATAGCAAACATCACACCACACGCGCACGCGGGGATTAATCGCACCTCTTATTAGCACAGTTGGCTACGTACGGTGCAAAAGAAGTTCAACATCATACAATCTCTCACCGCTATTCATTTTATTGCTGTGACTTTACATTGCTTGTTTTGCTTTCGTGGGCCCAGGCCACTCGTGCAAGTGAGGCTCCTCTATCCTGATCTCCTGACCTCGCACCTGATTACACAACACAAGCTTGAACCTTGACCCCCAGGTGGCGCAGCGGAGACGAGTGGCAAGGTGCGCGAGGGCGACGAGGTGCTGCAGTTCTGCGAGAGGGACCTGCGGGGGATGACGAAGTTCGACGCCTGGAACCTCGTCAAGTCGGCGCCTCCGGGGCCCGTGACGCTCACGCTGCGGAGAGGGGGCGGGGGGGGCGCGGCTCGGCCTTGAGACGGAGCAGCTCACGCTCCGCACCACATTCCGTGCCAAACCACACCGCGCCGCACCACACGCCTCACCACGCACCTCACCACGCACCTCACCGAACCACACCTCACACACGATACCACATCACTCTGAACCACACCAAACCCACACGCTAAACCACACTGCTCCACGCCACACAAAACCACACCGTGCCACACCTCACACGCCAAACTGCACCACGCCACACCAAATCACACCGCACGAGTCTAACTGGCTCTGCTCCTTGCGCCCTGTTACTGTTCATTCAGCCAGCCGCGCAGCACCCTGCAGTCCTCACTACCCCACCAGCACCCTCCCTTGCCATCATCACCACCGTCGGGCAGCCACCTGTCACGCTGCCTCCACTTTGTGGAGACGACGGCGGCGTGCTGCCCTCTGCTGGGGCTAAAGCTGCCGGCGGCCATTCCTGGCTGCCACTGCCAGGCAGCGACAGTCTCGGCCGGTGTGCGCGTCGCGGTGTGTGCGTCACGGTGTGCGCGTCGCGGTGTGTGCGGCACCGACCGTAGAGGGGCATCGTTTTTTACGGAGCTGCAGGGTCAACGTCGGCCTTGGGACCTTCACTGTCATCGGCAACCTCGTCTCCGTCGAGGGCGGGACCGGTAGCCACCGCGAAGGGTTTCGCGGTGCCGTCGTGGTTTTGGCAGGGCGCTCTGATCGACGTTTTCTCGGGTTGTACCGCTAAGCGTCGTTCGGCACGATGTCCGTCGTTCCGCTCCGCGTGCCAGTCACTTCAGGAAGGAAGTTCAAAAAGGAGTTTGTGAAAAAACTGCCGGCACGCGACAGGCGAATTGTCGGACATCACGCCCGGCAATGCATGGCGGTAGAACCAGAAAGCTCCCCGGAGAGCAGTGACGTTACTCTGCGGAGCGGTGGTGGTGGTGGGGGTGGTGGGGGGGCGCAGGAGTAACAGCGGCCCGTGTGACTCTCACTCGCGACGCACGCTCTTGCCAAAGTGTGATCATTGCCTGGGGGAATGGGAGAAGCCACGGGGGCACTCGGGTGACGAAGGCATTCAGACGGCGATGCGTCGCGTTCAATTGAGAACGATCGTCCTTGTGCAATAAGTCACGGGGGGTGGGGTCGGGTGGGGAGAGTGGTCACTCTCACCGCACGTATTTATGTTCGGTTTTGTTCACGTGCAGAATCAATGGGGCAGGTTGGGCCGCATGGCAGCGGTGGGGGTCCCCGGTGAGGTCGTCCTCCGTTGACCCTTGGGGGGGGGGGGGGGTGTGGAGTGTTTGTGGGGGCAGCTGTCGGTCAGTGATGGGCTATTTGATGGCCCAACCATTGGTGGATTGGGTCACTGCACTAATCAGAATTTTTGCCGGGTCGGCACCACACTCCGGGCCCAAGTGAATCTGTGCGGCGCAACCTCGTACACACGGTAATCACCTCCCCTACTGTCAACAGACTTGCGCCCCAGGTCACTCTGCAATGAGACTCATTCTGGTCTCTTGCGTTCTCACCTGGTTACACAAACCAACCCGAACCGTAACCCACACCCGAGTGAACGACGACGTATGATTTGCGGTTGCTCTCCGATTCCTCTTGGTGCAATTCCTCGTGCGTGCCTGGGCGCCCTGCATCCCGTGTCGAGCGGCCCCACATCCCGTGTTCCGTGTCGAGCGGCCCCACGTCCCGTGTCCCACGTCCCCTGTCCCGTGTTCCATGTCCTGTGTTCCGTGTCGAGCGGCCGTGCGCTCTGGACCCTTGTGGCACCGCGGGGCGATTCACAGCGGTCCACGCGCATCTCTGTCGCTGCGTCGCTCTGGAGATTTTCACTCGGGAAAATTAGAGTTTTCCAAAAAGCGCTCCAACCCCCTCCTCCTTCGTCCGCCTTTTCAGTTCATCATTTCGACCCCGGTTCCTCCTCTGGCAGCCGCTGCCCTAGGCTCGTGCTCCTCTGGTGTTTTCCAGCTGTGGCCGACCGGCGCTCACCCTCCACGGTGACGAGGAGATGTTATCTCCCTTGTCTGGTGCGCAGGAGGAGGTAGCAGGTTCGATCCGGGACCCCGACGATGCCTGTTGTATATTTGGTGGTCACGAAGATCGTTCTCCGGGTTCCTCCGATTTTGCCCCCCCCACTCTCTACATTTAGAAACACGCGTTTAGATTATTTGGCTGCTCTAGATTATCACGTGTGATAAGCTACTGTGATGAGCTCTCATGCGTGGCCAGCTCACCTCTGAACAAGAGCTCATCGCTTGGTGGGCTTTATCTGGGAAATTAAATAGTTCAGAGTTTATTATAGTTGTATCTTGAGCCAAACATTGCGGCCTCCTTTGCTGCTAAGGCCTTCGGTCGCTCCGTGCTGAACCACATCCACCGCGTGTCGTGACGACCACGTCGTTGAGAAGTCTCCGTGAAGGGTGGTAACACTTTCACCGTTTGTGTTTATGCCAATATCTCCAATACAATGTTCGGAAAAGCACCGAACGTCACTGTGACGTATCTGCCAAAGTTACTGATTGCAATTCGCGCGGCGGTCTCGAGTACCGCCTTGGTCACGTGTGTTTCTATTGACTCAAGTGACCGCGGCCCAGTGGGAGCGCTTTCGACCTGCTTGTTACTGCGCTTCGCGGTGCTGTTTGGGAAGGCCGCCCTCGTTAATCGCGCGGTGTCTGTGTGTTAACCATAAAATACCACGACGCGCCCTCTGCTTCACTCGCAGTGGCCGTTAACGGTCCCGTGACATGATTCGAAACGAGTTGGCTGCCCGTTGTGTGCGATCCAAATTTGAAAAATATCTCCCAACTGAATTCACTCAATTGAAATTCCGCACGGCAACATCGCCCCCTACCGCTAAACTACCGCAGCCTGTGCCTATGAACCGCAGCAGTGTCTTCCTTCGCGCTCTGAGAACGATAGCGCCCGCACCAAATCTACTAACTTATAACGATGATTGCAGGTGGTTGGTCGTACGTAGATGATCGTCAGTGCTATGCATTTCTTGTGGTCAAGATGAATATCTGCGACTGGATCGTGCGGCGAACACTTTGAGCGTCGTGACAGATCGGTGTGGGGATTTGGACGGTGAGCAGCAGGCGGGCTTGGTGAAGCGTCTCGGAATCGCGAGAGGTGGCGGCCGCGGCATTGAGAGGCCTTCATCCAGCAGTGCACAAAACGCAGTTCACTTTGTTGTCCTTCCCTCGCACCTCCGATTAGTACGGTTTCCTATGTGCGGTGCGAAAGTACCGCTGATTGATGTTTATGATGATGTTGACGGTACAAGATGGACCGATTGCCACCTGCAGCCCCCAGGGGATGGCTTTTTGAAAGCGGCTGATGGCAACCTGCCCCTCATAATTTATATTGAGTTTAATCTGTGTTCATTCTATACATCACGGTGATGTCGTTCGTGCGAATCGCGTCTTTCACAATCGTCAAGGAAGAACCACAGACGAGCGGGAAAGCAGCAGCAGCCACGCGCTAAGGATCCAGCACTTCCAACAATCCCCCAAGATCTGCGGTCCTCTGTACATTCAGATGTTTTAAGCCAAATGAATGAGTGTTTAGACACGTGGGAGGATACCAGGGCGCCCAGAGAAAACTAACGCGTGCGAGAGGGCAACACTCTCCCATCATACAGAAGGCACAGATGATAGTCCAAACTTGTACCGCCTTGTGCGGAGCCACGGAAGGGAGTTTCGCTAAATCTGCAGCGCCGCGTTCCAGGCTGCCACGTGCAGCGTAGCGCCCACCACCACCTCCCGGCCCATCCTGTGGGCAGCATCGACTGATTGCAAGCCTGCCGTCACTTTAATTTGACTACAGCAATTATGCAAATTTTGGCTACAAATTACACGTCCCCAGGCGGCCACACCTGATAGCCAACCGGCTGTTTGCAATGATCCCCGTGTGTGTGGGGAATGCCCGCGGTGTTGACATGATCCGCTGTATGCCGCGAGCAGGCTGTCCGCGACCAATGTCGTGTAACGGCGGGGGCAACGTTGGGCCAAGCACATGCAACGTTGGCTCTGACGTTGCATGTTTACTGGGAGGTTTTTTTGAATGTGTTTAGCTAATTTATCCTGAGCCCCACTTTGCTGCCGCCTTTGTTCAGTTCCTCTTGCGTTGCGTCTGCTTGCGTGTGGGGAGGTGAGATAATCTGATGGCCGATGGATTGCCCAGGGGTAGCAGCGAGGTGGATCGCTCCTGCTGCTCCTGCTGCTGCTGCTGGCTCCTGCTGCTGCTGGTTCCTGCTGCTGCTGGCTCCTGCTGCTGCTGGCTCCTGCTGCTGCTGGCTCCTGCTGCTGCTGGCTCCTGCTGCTGCTGGTTCCTGCTGCTGCTGGCTCCTGCTGCTGCTGGTTCCTGCTGCTGCTGGCTCCTGCTGCTGCTGGTTCCTGCTGCTGCTGGCTCCTGCTGCTGCTGGCTCCTGCTGCTGCTGCTGCTCCCGCTGCTCCCGCTGCTCCTGCTGCTCCTGCTGCTGCTCCCGCTGCTCTGCACCGGTCACGTGGCTAGGGGACTGGCTCCTCGTCACGTCAGCCTCTCATCAGTCCTCTTGTTGTCCATTGCCACTCGGCTGTTATGGTCGTGGTGCACAAGGGCAACCAACAAAACAACTCGACACATTGCGACTCGCGCTCAGACTTTGTTTCAGCCGGTGATGTCCCATTGAGCAAAGCTGCTCTGCCTCAAGGACGGGCCAAATACCCTCGGCAGTGGCAGCAGCCACAGGATTTTGCATTAATATCGAGACGCATAGAGTTACACACAGAGACCCATATAGTTACACACAGAGACCCATAGAGTTACACACAGAGACCCATAGAGTTACACACAGAGACCCATAGAGTTACACACAGAGACCCATAGAGTTACACACAGAGACCCATAGAGTTACACAGAGACCCATAGAGTTACACAGAGACCCATAGAGTTACACAGACTCGTATAATTACACAGATACTCAGAGTTACACAGAGACTCACAGGGTGAGACTGCGGCCCAGAGGCCACGGCCCAAGACCGTCAGCAGCGATGGTAGCTCCAGGACATCGCAGGGTGGATGGAACGCGTCGACTCTGCAGAACAACAGACACATGGTTGACACGAAACCCGCGCCACAACTCACTACAGAGACGAAAGGACTCGGTCACTTACACTGCCATAAACCGACGTATGCGCTGTGAAGAAGGGCACTTGCCCGAAACGTCGACTATTCCTGTAGATGTTTCCTATTGAGTCCGCGCGCGGTATGGAGGTGAATGTGTTGGGGGGGGTAGATGTGTGGTTGTCGGTCGCACCGCCCGTGACCCCGCACGCAGTGGCCACAGGCGGCCACTAGGGGGTGATAAACCACAACCTCGGCTCATCCGTTCTCAGACCCTTGTCCGGTTTCTCAAAGCGAGTTAACCGGTAACCCGTTTGCAGTGGGTCGTGAGTGGCGATCGGCAACGCGGGGTCGCGTCCACACGGCGCGTTTCTCAGGTTCATCGGTTGAAGCATCCAAACGTGTCAACGCGTTTAGATTGATCGGCATCTGTGTGTCGCTGCCAATCGGTTTTTACCGGAGCTTTTTTTCCTTTGGTTACCGGTTAATGCAACAACGACCAAGACAAAAATGCCGACGTTCGCGACCCCCTAATGACCACTCGCGGTGTACGTGGCCTGGACTCCGAGTTTTGTTTTCGGTTTTTTATTATATTTTCTTCTGAATTTTGCGGGGAGATGAGCCCCCGCGGGGCGGGTGGCCAGCACCACGCCCGGGGCCGCCTTTGTCTCCCCAGTGCTGATGTTTAAAATAAAATACATCAGCACTGGTCTTAGAGTGGGAATCGAACCCGGATTCGTAGCGCAGTGCGCTAACCACTGCCCCACCGCTCCCAATCACCACCACTCCTGATGTTCGATTGTGCACCGGAGCCCCTGGGATGAGAGAGAGATGCACTGCATTGTTTTATTTAGCCGTGGTCAACACCAGTGATTAATTCACGCATAATGGACACTGCTGTGATTCACTTGCAACGCCACGCTTCAGACTGTAATATATATAACCTCGGAAAACGATGGTAATGATAATTATAATAAAAGATCACACTGCTCCGAGTGAGCCGTCGTGAATCGATCGAGCCGGGTGAGTGAAGGTGGAGCTCTGTCCCACACCAATTTGTAATTTACTCGCCCCCGTCGCACGAATGTGGAATTGCCATCGCCGCTGCCTCGAGGGCTGTAAGCAGGAGGTGAGAACAGCCAATGCCTCCATTGGAGCAGCAAGTCACTGGCCGTGGACTGTTGAGGCCGCATCCCTCACGGAACGAGGGGAGAGGGGAAGGTGGAACGCAGGGAGAGGGGGGCGAAGCGGTGTGGGGGGAGCGAGCACGGCGGCTGTGGAGACGACGGCGGCTGTGGAGACGACGGCGGCTGCAGGAGGACGACGCCGTCGCAGGAGGGAGGAGAGTCGGAGGGGGGGGGAGGGAGGGGGGGGGAGGGAGGGGGGGGGAGGGAGGGGGGGGGAGGGGAGGGGGGGGGAGGGAGGGGGGGGGGAGGGGGGGGGGGGAGGGAGGGGGGGGGGAGGGAGGGGAGGGGGGGAGGGAGGGAGGGGGGGGAGGAGGGGGGGGGGAGGGGGGAGAGTGAGGAGAGGGGGCAGCAGAGAGAGTGTGTGGAGAGAGGAGGGAGAGAGTGTGTGGAGAGGGGGGGGGCAGGGAGAGAGTGTGTAGAGAGGGGGGGGGAGAGTGAGGAGGGAGCAGGGAGAGAGTGTGTGGAGAGAGGAGGGAGAGAGTGAGGAGGGAGCAGGGAGAGAGTGTGTGGAGAGGGGGGGGGAGAGAGTGAGGAGGGAGCAGGAGAGAGTGTGTGGAGAGTGGGGGGAGCAGTGGACGAGAGTGTGTAGAGAGGGGGTGGGAGGAGAGTGAGGAGGGAGCAGGGAGAGAGTGTGTAGAGAGAGGAGGGAGCAGGGAGAGAGTGTGTAGAGAGGGGGGGGGGAGAGAGTGAGGAGGAGGGAGCAGGAGAGAGTGTGTGGAGAGGGGGGCGAGAGTAGAGATGAGGAAGGGAGCAGGGAGAGAGTCGGGTGTGGAGAGTGGGGGGGTGAGCAGGAGAAGAGAGTGTGTAGAGAGAGGGGAGAGTGGAGGACGAGTAGTAGAGGGGGGAGAGGAGGAGCAGGGATGAGAGTGTGTAGAGAGGGGGGGGGAGAGAGGAGAGGAGGGAGCAGGTGAGAGAGTGTGTAGAGAGGGGGGGGGAGAGAGTGAGGAGGGGCAGGGACGAGAGTGTGTGGAGAGGGGGGGAGAGTGAGGAGTGCGAGATGGCACGAGGTGAGAGTGTGTGAGAGAGGGGGAGAGAAGTGAGGAGGGAGCAGGGAAGAGAGTGTTGTTGGAGAGGGGGAGGGAGACGTGAGGAGGGAGCAGGGAGAGAGTGTGTAGAGAGGGGGGGGAAGAGAGTGTGTAGAGAGAGGAGGGAGCAGGGAGAGAGTGTGTGGAGAGGGGGGGAGATAGTGAGGAGGGAGCCGGGAAGAGAGTGTGTGGAGAGGGGGGGGGAGAGAGTGAGGAGGGAGCAGGGAGAGAGTGAGGAGGGAGCAGGGAGAGAGTGTGTGGAGAGGAGGGAGGAGAGTGAGGACGGGGAGCAGGGAGAGAGTGTGTGGAGAGGAGGGAGAGAGTGAGGAGGGAGCAGGGAGAGAGTGTGTAGAGAGGGGGGGGGGAGAGAGTGAGGAGAGCAGGGGAGAGAGTGTGTGGAGAGGAGGGCGAGAGTGAGGAGGGAGCAGGGAGGAGAGTGAGGAGGGAGCAGGGAGAGAGTGTGTGGATGAGGGGGGGGGAGAGAGGAGGAGGGAGCAGGGAGAGAGTGTGTGGAGAGAGGAGGGGCAGGGAGAGAGTGTGTGGAGAGGAGGGAGAGAGTGAGGAGGGAGCAGGGAGAGAGTGAGGAGGAGCAGGGAGAGAGTGTGGTGAGAGGGGGGGAGAGAGTGAGGAGGGAGCAGGGAGAGAGTGTGTGGAGAGGGGGGGGAGAGTGAGGAGGGAGCAGGGAGAGAGGTGTTGGAGAGGGGGGGGGAGTGTGTGGAGATGGGGGGGGAGAGTGAGGAGGGAGCAGGAGAGAGTGTGTAGAGAGGGGGGGGAGAGAGTGAGGAGGGAGCAGGGAGAGAGTTTGTAGAAGAGGAGGGAGAGAGTGTGTGGAGAGGGGGGGGAGAGAGTGAGGAGGGAGCAGGGAGAGAGTGTGTGGAGAGGGGGGGGGAGAGTGTGTGGAGGGGGGGGGAGAGAGTGAGGAGGGAGCAGGGAGAGAGTGTGTGGAGAGAGGAGGAGCAGGAGAGAGGTGTGGAGAGGGGGGGGGAGAGAGTGAGGAGGGAGCAGGGAGGAGTGTGTGGAGAGGGGGGGGAGAGTGAGGAGGGAGCAGGGAGAGAGTGTGTGGAGAGGGGGGGGAGTGTGAGGAGGGAGCGGAGGAGTGTGTAGAGGAGGGAGCAGGGAGAGAGTGTTTGAGAGGGGGGGGAGAGAGTGAGGAGGGAGCAGGGATGAGGAGTGTGTAGAGAGAGGAGGGAGAGAGTGAGGAGGGAGCAGGAGAGAGTGTGTGGAGAGGGGGGGGGAGAGAGTGAGGAGGGAGCAGGGAGAGCGTGTTGTGGAGAGGGGGGGGAGAGTGAGGAGGGAGCGGGAGAGAGTGAGGAGGGAGCAGGGAGAGAATGTGTGGAGAGGCAGGGAGAGAGTGAGGAGGGAGCAGGGAGAGAGTGTGTGGAGAGGAGGAGAGAGTGAGGAGGGAGCAGGGAGAGAGTGTGTAGAGAGGGGGGGAGAGAGTGAGGAGGAGCAGGGAGAGAGTGTGTGGAGAGGAGGGAGAGAGTGAGGATGGAGCAGGGAGAGAGGTGGGAGAAGGGGGGGGAGAGAGTGAGGAGGGAGCTGGGAGAGAGTGTGTGGAGAGGGGGGGGAGAGAGTGAGGAGGGAAGCAGGGAGAGCGTGTGTGGAGAGGAGGGAGAGAGTGAGGAGGGAGCAGGGGAGAGAGTGAGGCGGGAGCAGGAGAGAGTGTGTGGATGAGGGGGGGGAGAGAGTGAGGAGGGAGCAGGGAGAGAGTGAGGAGGGAGCAGGGAGAGAGTGTGTAGAGAGGGGGGGAGAGAGTGAGGAGGGAGCAGGGAGAGAGTGTTGTGGAGAGGAGGGATGAGAGTGAGGAGGGGAGCAGGGAGAGAGTTTGGAGAGGGGGGGGATGGAGAGTGAGGAGGGAGCAGGGAGACAGTGTGTGGAGAGAGGAGGGAGCAGGGAGAGAGTGTTGTGGAGAGGGGGGGGAGAGAGTGAGGAGGGAGCAGGGAGACAGTGTGTGGAGAGAGGAGGGAGCAGGGAGAGAGTGTTGGAGAGGGGGGGAGAGAGTGAGGAGGGAGCAGTGGAGAGGGAGCGGGAGAGAGTGAGGAGGGAGCAGGGAGAGAGTGTGGTGGGAGAGGAGGAGATCGTGTGTGGAGAGGAAGGGGAGAGGAGGAGAGTGAGGCGGAGCAGGGAGAGAGTGTGTGGAGAGGGGGGGGAGAGAGAGTGAGGAGGGAGCAGGGAGAGAGTGTGTGGAGAGGAGGGAGAGAGTGAGAGTGAGGAGGAGCAGGGAGAGAGTGTGTGGAGAGGGGGGGGAGGAGAGCGGCAGAGTCGCCGCTCCCCGTTTCCCCTCTCAGTCTCTCACGCGGACAACCGGCAACAGCAGCAGCATCCGCCCCGCGCCCCTCTCCGCCTTCTTCATGCTCTCCCATGGCGCCGCGGCCCGCTGTGAGGCCACGGCGAGCAGCAGCAGCAGCAGGAGGAGGAGGCAGGAGCAGCAGGAGGAGGAGGCAGGAGCAGCAGGAGGAGGGTTGGTGGTGGTGGCACCACGACGAGGAGGTGAGCAGAGGGAGAGGACGCGGCGGAGAGACGAGAGGGGCCGGATAAGGAGGACGAGAGGAGGCGACAGGCAGGACGAGCAGAGTGGAGAGAGACGAGGTGAGGGGACGTGAGGCGATTAGGGGACGAGGCTAGGAGAGGGGAGAGGGGATGTGTCGAGGTGGGGAGAGATGAGAGAGGCGATGGTGACAAGCGCCGCCCGTTATTTACAATGGACGCGGTGTGGGGGGACGCCGCGGCCTAGGCCTAGTGCGAGGCCTCGCGTTGCCTGGGGACGCTGCGGGGATGGAGGCGCCTCTCGCCGGCCGAGAGGCTTCGTCCCAGCCCCCGCCCCCCTCGAGAAGCAACACGAATAGAGGCGAGCACTCCATCCAGCAGTGGAGTGGTCGTGGCCGCCGGTTACGACGAGAAGGGGATGCTCTGCTTCGGGCCGGATTCGCTTTAAAGTGAGAAATATAAGGTTCGTACTCGCTGGTGGGGGTGGACGTCTACGGAGGAGACGGAGCGATGGATTCGGATCGTTGTGCGCGACTCCCTGTGTGGATTACTAGCGACGGTACGCGGTCGGGTCGCGAGACGTGGATGTGGCCCGGGCTTCATCCAGCGGTGGATGGTCCAGCTGCTGCTGGACGATGGGAACTGGAGTCGGGTGACGCCTTCTGGTAGCGGCGCCCGAGACTTAACGGAGCAGGAGGAGGATCGGGGGACCCCCTTTAGGGGTCTCGTGATCCCGTCCAGGGCTCTGGTGACTCTGAAAGCATGACAGTGGTCCTGTGGAAGGGTTAGGGGTCCCGTCCAGGGGGTCCAGCGATCCCGCTTAGGGGAGTTTAGCGATTCTGTTCATGGTGATTGCGGTCGTGAGTCGGGGTCGAGCGGTCTTGTTTAGGGGTCCAGTTTTCCTGTTTAGGGAATCGGACAGGGATCAGCCCCTGTGCGTGTGGCGTTTGTAGTGTTTGTTGACTGCGCTTGGAATGTCCACCGCTCCCATAATTACCGCTAATTTGGCTGTGGGCCGGGGTTCGTTTGGAGGAGCTGTGCGGGCGGCCTGACCCGGTCCCATCATCGTATCCTGGACTCAATCAGAGGTTTGCAGACCCTGAGATGTCCCTGCACAACCAGCCGCGTGCTGACCTGGTGCAACCCTCACCCAGTACAACCCTCACCCAGTACAACCCTCACCCAGTACACCCTCACCCAGTACAACCCTCACCCAGTACAACCCCCACCCAGACAGCCCTCACCCAGTACAACCCTCACCCAGACAGCCCTCACCCAGTACAACCCTCACCCAGACAGCCCTCACCCAGTACAACCCTCACCCAGTACAACCCTCACCCAGTACAACCCTCACCCAGTACAACCCTCACCCAGTACAACCCTCACCCAGACAGCCCTCACCCAGTACAACCCTCACCCAGACAGCCCTCACCCAGTACAACCCTCACCCAGTACACCCTCACCCAGTACAACCCTCACCCAGTACAACCCTCACCCAGTACAACCCTCACCCAGACAGCCCTCACCCAATACAACCCTCAGCTCTCATTACCCGAGCCCTCCCTGCCTTACCTACCACACCCTACCCAACACAACTACACCTTAACCAATCACACCCTACCCAACCACTCCCTACTCTACCACATCCTACTCAACCAGATCCTACTCAACTACATCCTACCCAACCACTCCCAACTCTACCACACCCTACTCAACCACTCCCTACTCAACACAACTACACCTTACCCAATCACACCCTACTCAACCACTCTCTACTCTACCGCATCCTACTCAACCACTCCCTACTCAACACTCCCTACCCAACCACTCCCTACTCAACCACTCCTACTCAACCACTCCCTACTCAACCACTCCCTACTCAACCACTCCCTACTCAACCACATCCTACTCAACCACATCCTACTCAACCACTCCCTACCCAACCACTTCCTACCCAACCACTCCCTACCCAACCACTCCCTACTCAACCACTCCCTACTCAACCACTCCCTACTCAACCACTCCCTACCAACCACTCCTACCCAACCACTCTCTACTCAACCACTCCCTACTCAACCACTCCCTACTCAACCACTCCCTACCCAACCACTCCCTACCCAACCACCTCACTACCCAACCACTCCCTACTCACCACTCCCTACCCAACCACTCCCTACTCAACCCACTCCCTACTCAACCACTTCCTACTCAACCACTCCCTATCCAAAACCCCCTACCCAACCACTCCCTAATCAACCACTCCCCTACTCAACCACTTCCTACCCAACCACTCTCTACCAAACCACTCCCTATCAACCATCCCTACTCAACCACTCCCTACCCAACCACTCCCTACCCAACCACTCTCCTACCCAACTACTCCCTACTCAACCACTCCATACCAACCACTCCCTACCCCAACCACTCTCTACCCAACACTCCCTACTCAACCACTCCCTACCCAACCACTCTCTATCCCAACCACTTCCCTACTCAACCACTCCCTACTCAACCCACTCCCTACTCAACCACTCCCTACCCAACACTCCCTACCCAACACTCCCTACTCAACCACTCCCTACGCAACCACTCCCTACTCAACCACTCCCTACCCAACCACTCCCTACCCAACCACTCCCTACCCAACCACTCTCTACCCAACCACTCCCTACTCAACCACTCCCTACTCAACCACTCCCTACTCAACCACTCCCTACTCCACCACTCTCTATCGAACAACACCCTACCCGACCTGGCCCTATGCTGACCCACGCACACCAGCCCATACCTCAACTCCACCTGGGCCTACTATAAGGCTGGCGTCTGTTCCACAAACCAACCCCGAATATGATTCTCAGTCAGCACTTGGTCTATTATCAAACTGCGCAATAAACTGTTAATACAGTCAACACAAGACTGGTGGTAGCAGATCTCGATGCAAATCCGTTCCTGCCACCAGAATACAGGAGTCACTTCCCAGACAGGTGGAAAACCTTTCTTGCAATCATCCCCCACCCAGGCCAGTCCTCCATAATAACCCACCTTCATCTCGCCCTCACTCTTAACTAAACTCGAAGCCAACTGGCCAACCTTACTCTACCTGATCCTACATACCTCTTCTGCACCATGCCCTAACCTTTTCAAACCTGCTCCGTTCCTCCCTTCACTGCCCTACCAGACGTGATCTGACTCTTTGCGGTTAGCTCCCGTTCTACTCTTGTCTGCATATAATAGGATGAGATGGCCCCTGTCAGCCCCAGTGTTTACTCGCAGAGCAATAACATGGGACTGATTAATTCTGGTTGGGATACAGACCGCACCACTGCTCTGTCCTGCCCGAACACGAGCTCCGAATTCGGTGGTCAGCAACCTGCGGCTCCGAAGCCGCATGCGGCTCTTTAAGGACTGCTTCGTGACGTTATTTATAAAGGGCCGCCGTCCCGTATTCACGTTGCATTGCGGCTCTTGAAATACTGAGTTTTTTTACCGAATTAGAAAAAGAGGGCACTTCTTGTTATTTTGATTTCTGACTCCTGCCTTAACTCCACTCGCCTCGATCACAACCCTGCCCCAGCTGGGACTAAGCCTGCCCAGGGGCAAGTCCCTGCTGTTGATATCCCTGAGAGAGAGATTGACAGATGCTGCTATCTTCTGCAAAAGTAGACAATCAAGAATAGCCCAGAGTGCGGCTGCTGTCACCAATCTCAAACCGTGGACCACAATGTAACACCACTGCTCACTTTCAACGTTTAAGTCTATGGATCTCTATTTGAGCCAGTGTATCGCTCAAACCATGGACCACAATGTAACACCACTGCTCACTTTCAACGTTTAAGTCTATGGATCTCTATTTGAGCCAGTGTATCGCTCAAACCATGGACCACAATGTAACACCACTGCTCACTTTCAACGTTTAAGTCTTTGGATCTCTATTTGAGCCAGTGTATCGCTCAAACCATGGACCACAAAGTAACACCGCTGCTCACTTTCAACGTTTAAGTCTATGGATCTCTATTTGAGCCAGTGTATCGCTCAAACCATGGACCACAATGTAACACCACTGCTCACTTTCAACGTTTAAGTCTATGGATCTCTATTTGAGCCAGTGTATCGCTCAAACCATGGACCACAATGTAACACCACTGCTCACTTTCAACGTTTAAGTCTATGGATCTCTATTTGAGCCAGTGTATCGCTCAAACCATGGACCACAAAGTAACACCGCTGCTCACTTTCAACGTTTAAGTCTATGGATCTCTATTTGAGCCAGTGTATCGCTCAAACCATGGACCACAATGTAACACCGCTGCTCACTTTCAACGTTTAAGTCTATGGATCTCTATTTGAGCCAGTGTATCGCTCAAACCATGGACCACAAAGTAACACCGCTGCTCACTTTCAACGTTTAAGTCTATGGATCTCTATTTGAGCCAGTGTATCGCTCAAACCATGGACCACAATGTAACACCGCTGCTCACTTTCAACGTTTAAGTCTATGGATCTCTATTTGAGCCAGTGTATCGCTCAAACCATGGACCACAATGTAACACCACTGCTCACTTTCAACGTTTAAGTCTATGGATCTCTATTTGAGCCAGTGTATCGCTCAAACCATGGACCACAATGTAACACCACTGCTCACTTTCAACGTTTAAGTCTATGGATCTCTATTTGAGCCAGTGTATCGCTCAAACCATGGACCACAAAGTAACACCGCTGCTCACTTTCAACGTTTAAGTCTATGGATCTCTATTTGAGCCAGTGTATCGCTCAAACCATGGACCACAATGTAACACCGCTGCTCACTTTCAACGTTTAAGTCTATGGATCTCTATTTGAGCCAGTGTATCGCTCAAACCATGGACCACAAAGTAACACCGCTGCTCACTTTCAACGTTTAAGTCTATGGATCTCTATTTGAGCCAGTGTATCGCTCAAACCATGGACCACAATGTAACACCGCTGCTCACTTTCAACGTTTAAGTCTATGGATCTCTATTTGA